CCCCACTCGGGTTACCACCTCTACAGATTTGACCAGGACAGTCGTGAAATTGGCATCTGTGATCGGGTGGCAGGAATTGATTAAAAAAACACTTTTTTTATTTTACCAGGTAAAGCCCACTTTAGCTGTATACCTCTTTTTGAGAAGCGACCTGGCCACAAATGATAGCTCAACAAAGTGGCTTATCACGTGGAAATTTATAGCAGCCAAATACTCAAGGCGAAATGTTTCTATGTGGTACCGGAATTGTGTTAAACTGTGATAGTTTAATTGCGGTTCTGATCATTATGAATAGACCTAGGCTGACTGAGACGTTGGTCTGGGTTCGGTCTGTGAAAACATTGGCGACCCCACACTCCCCACGGCTTGCGGGCTGATGGGGAGGGGGGGCGGTGTTACCTCCATGTTTCACAGTCATGAAGCGAATTAAACCGGTTTACAGAAACCGATGTTACTCAACAAATTAATGTAGAGGCGGGTTGAAAAGTATTGCTCCAAACATTGCACATTATGTGAATACTCGAGGAGTGTTTTTTAAACTCTTCTTGTGAATCACAACTGTTGTATGAAACCTACGTATAGTCTCATGAGCAGTCAAGCACAAAAAAAAACATATTAGTTGTGTACCGTGCTTCTATGCTCCTTTCCTACACAAACATGGACACAGCTGTGTGGGGAAGTATGGTCAAATACTCTCGACTACCCGTGTGAGGTCCTCTACCAGCAGTGGATTAAGAAAGGGCTGTAAATCGCACGTGGACAACATATACTCACGTGCAGACCTTGCCACGAGATGCCCTAAGTCACCACCGTGCCACACAGCAAATCATCATTGAGCCATGCCAATCCACTGCTGGATGAAGGACTCCTCATTGCAGCCAACGCCACCTGCGTTCACGGCTGCAAAGACCTCGGCTTTGGTCAGCGGACACTTACTGTTGACGATACTGCAACAGCGCCCTCTTGCGGGAAGCAGAAGACGTTATACTAAATCTTGACTTAAAGCTTTCGTGACTGCAGGAATTCATGTTCTTTGGGTCTTTCGGTGAAGTCACGTGGATAGGTACAAATTAATAAAATATAATTAATATAAAATAAGCAAAAAAAACTACGAGGTTTCGATCATGACACAAGCGATCGTCATCAGGAGGAAAGAGGGGGGAAACTGAAGTTATTCTCAGTGTCAGCATTCGGCAGCTTTCCCCCCTCTTTCCTGCTGATAACGATCGCTTGTGTTATGATCGAAACGTCTTAGTTTTTTGTTTATTTTATATATGTATTTTTTTATTTGTACCTTTCTACGTGACTTTACCGAAAGACCCAAAGAATAAGAAGTGATATTATTGCGTATGATGGCAGCAATGTTCATGAGCTAAGTGCCAATGTCGAGGTCTGTTAGCCACGAGAGGGCTTCAGTTCTTGTCGTTTTAACTTTCTCCTCCGCTGAAAGAGCGCAGACTACAGCGGTTTACGACCGGGTCCGCAGTTTGGCTTGCATGGCCACAGTCACGCTGTAGTGGCTTGTGCCTTTTTTATTCCATTCATGAAATAAGCAGCAGTAATGGTGGTGGGGGGGGAGGGGGGTAAATAAGTGTTTTAATCGGTGTGTCATACAGCAGCTGATATGACACAGTGTAGATCAGGAACAAGGCCATGAACGAATAAAACGGAACACAATCGGCAAAGAATCATGGAGAGAAAGCGTGCATGGAATTACACTTGAGACAAAACCAGGATAACATGGATGATAATGACACGATGCCAGAAGGAGTTAGTTACCGACGGTCAAGAATAATTATTATCGAGTGGTAGCAAAGGGATGGAACGAGTCTGAGAGGATGTCCACGGAGGAATGGAGCGATTAAACCAGTTGGTGTGCAGATGCTATGGCGGATTGTTGCATTGCAGGATAGTGGAGTATGACAATTTAAACCAAGGCAAGCCTTCATCCAGCAGTGGATTGATCATGGCTGATGAAATAAAAGTAAATAACAAATGAATTACAATGCAGTTATAATAATAGGGGTTTTCCCCTTTTTTTCTGGCAACAAAACTGAAACCTTTTTACAAGGATTAATGTCTGCATTAACCACAATACCTGCAGTCAAAATGCAAACAAAAAACATACTATGATAATATATGATGCATTGTCCTTGAAACTGATTGGTCCACACCAAGGGACGATTTTCTTTTGAGCCTTTACCCAATTGGTGCTCGACCAGATGGTGTCATCTGTGGTTAATGCAGACATGAATCCTTGTAAAAAAGGTTTCAGTTTTGTTGCCAGAAAAAAGGGGAAAACCCTATTATTATATTTTGGTACTGGCAAAAGAGGTGCAATGATGAGATACAATGCAGTTATTTAAACGATTTTTATCCTCTTGAGGCCATCCAGAAACTTCATCTAAGCAACTTCAGCAGTTGAGAGGAATGTTAAAAGTTTGAAAGTGTTTCGTTGAATGTTGAAGTCATTGCGTGTGAAAGGGTGCATCACCACATTTTAATGAACCTATTCATTGATTGTAGTGAGAGTAAATCAGCGTGATAATCACCAATCTCCTTCGGCCCATTAAGCTGCCTCAGGATAACTTTACCCCTCCAAAATGATGCCGTGTTCTCCCATTGGCCACTTTGATACATGCAATGTTGTAAACACCCGTCCGAGCTCTTAACAAAAGCTTTCCATATAAAGGGAGGTCTGCTGGAAAATGTTATGCTCCCTGTAGGTCTGGTGATAGTGAATTATTCACAGACAGGGAGTTAAGGCGATTGATTTTATAGTCATTGCACAATTTTAAATAATGCATTGAGCAAATCTGGATTGTCTCCGTTTTCCCTTCCGCTTTCACCTACATTGTCTGAAGTGCGGTGCTCCTCATCGATTGACACACTAATTATTAGCTTCACTGACCTATTGTGGAAACAAGGCTTAAACAAATCTGAATAACATTTTTATTTAAAGCTTTCGTGACTGCAGTGATTCATATTCTTGGTTCTTTCGGTAAAGTCACGTTGAAGGGACACAATAAAATAATAAAATATATATTGTTTCCCTTCAACGTGACTTTACCGAAAGAACCAAGAATATAAATCGGAATAACTTAAGTTATTCAAGAACTTAGTACTGTAATGCCCTTGTAATGCAATGACGAATTTCGTGTAATATGTGCAGGACAAAGTCTACTTTGGATCATGACATTTTAACCCGAGGTATGAAAGCACATGGAAAGAATACGGCTGCTTCATTTTTACTGTCGCGATGTGCTCTATTGGGCTGTTACAGTATGTCACATATAAACCCCAACTGTTACACTTTACAGGGTGTATTTAGGCTTCATTTCGGTTCATATGTTCACGACATTTAAGGCAATGTTGGAGGATTTTTTTTTTATTATGAAGAGAGCGAGGACAGGACAGAAATAATGGCCAACAATTCTCACAGTAAAAACACTTAACAAGCTGCGGTTCATAAAAGTTAACTGCTGAAGACAGGTTTTCACGTCGTTTTACGATACTCATGAACAAATATACGTGGCTTTTAAACCACATGTATGAGAATTACTTCAATCAACTGAAATAATAAGTGAATGCAATTGGCGATAGTTTATTAAACCAAAGCGAAGACAAGACAAAACAATAAAATACGGTAATATGGTTTGGACAATACAAAACTGTCCACGTGACAGCTTGTACACGTCACATCTAACGTGAATCTGTGCTCCTTTGAAGTCCCTTCTAAGGCCCCATCACCACGTGATGAGCAGCAATCAGGGCACGAGGTCCTTTTTATGGTGGGCGGCGGGGGGGTGTTAACCAGCTTGCCTTGTTCACTTGCGGGCATTCAAGTTAGCACAGAGTGAACTGTCGTGTGTGCTGGCGTCTCTGCTACATTAACCAACCACCGTAAACAAAACAAAACCCTTCTTTGGTTCTTTCGGTAAAGTCACGTAGAATGAGAATAAAATAATAAATTGTGTTATTTTATTTATAAATTGTGTGTTATTTTATAAATTGTGTGTTATTTTATTTGATCAATTTATTATTTTATTCTCATTCTACGTGACTTTACCGAAAGAACCAAAGAAGATGAATCATTGCAGTCACGAAAGCTTTAAATCGAAAAACAAAACCCACTCCGTTAGACAAAGTCACGTGTGTCTGTTAATGTTGGTGCATCAGCTCTATCCAGTGGGTGAAGGTGAAGAGTGGCAATACGTAGGTCTTTGCGCTTGTGCTGTAGATTCCTCCAAAGAATTTTCGAGTGGTACCGTATTTCGTTAGGCACGACGTTCATGGAGAGAAGCATCAAATTGTTGTGGCAACCTACATGCGTACCAACGTGAAAACACATCGGAGGGCTAAGGGTTAGGGCGCCTCATGAGACAGGCGGCGCTGTAATGGTCAACGGCACGTGTTTTTTTTTTTTGATGAGAGATGTTGTCGTGCTGTAACAAAAACATACCCTCAAAGAGGATCTCTGACAGGTTTAGTGAGACAGCCTCAAAGTGCAGCTGCTGGAATCCAGAATGCCGACGGCTGTCAACAGCACCACTGGTATTATTTCCAAGCTGGAGGTTGCTTAATCCATACTCTGTATTGTATTTGTTTTTAGACCATGGCAGAATTGAATATTTCGCTTCTTTCGAGTTGCACAAGTTAGAATTCCAACCGGAATCTCTGAAATCTCCCCTGCAAACGAGATTTGCTGGTTTCTCACCTGGTAATGGAAGATCCATTCAGCTTGTAGATAATGGCTCACCGGCCACATTCAAAGGCAATCATGGCCTCTGTTGGTTTCAATCGTTGCCGATTTTACTTGATATCCACACATTCACACGCAGCTCCCTCAAAAAGCAAAAGTGCAGAACTATTTTGTAAATTCTATGTAAACACAATAAATACGAAGAGCAAAAGCTGAGTGAATGCCTGAATGTTGGACTTAAGTTCTGGCTAAGTGGTATTCGCATGTACCCATCACATATAGACACTCATACAGAGTAGGTATTTAATCAGCTTTATTTAAGAAACCTCTATTTAACAGACATCCATGTTTGACAAAATACTCACCAAGTCATGATTTTCTTCAGGAGGCTCCTGTATTTAATGTCCCACAACGAACAACAAACATTTCAACAGATTGTTACTGCAACCATTTTTTTTATTTAAAAAATGTCAAAGGTTGACAACTGTGTCAAAGTGAGCTTGCAGACTTTCTACATAAACGTGCACTACTACTACCTACAGCAAATCCCAGCAAAGGAAAACGAATAACAAATAGACACAGGAGGAAGAGACCAAAAAATGGACAAAGATCACCTTTCTGGCAAGTTTGTGGCACGGAAAAAAAACTAATAAAAAAAATCTCTTGACCATATAGACATCTCTATGAGTATTTGTACAAAAAAAGTCTCTTCATAAATTATAATCTTTTTTAACTTATTTCATGGCTGTAAAATGAGATGGAACAGGAGATTTTTTCTCTCTCAAAAAAATAAAAGCACGACAAGTTAGAAATGTATTAATTTAGACGAGTCAACGTTACACTGCTGTCTGAAAGGTATGGTTTGGGCTTTTGCAGAGGTTTTTATTGATAGCTTTAACCGTGTTCTTTGTATTTTCCATTCACAAAAAAACATTACTTTCAGCAACAACCATCTTTGGAGATGAACACCACCATCAATAATTAATCTTTTAATGGATATACCAAAGAACCTGCATACATCTCAACAAGCCTTCAGTTGTCCCAGACAGCAGTGTTGCCCAGCCGCATCAAACCACTCAATATTTGTTCCATGATTTACAAGAAAATCAAATTGCATGTTAACAATTCAAGATCTGAAAATTAAATCATTCCACGAAGACGATTTGAAGCTATGAAACAACCTGTATTTCATAACTAAAGATAAAAAAACACAACCCAGTTGCTTTTGGTTGATTGTCACAAGTCAGACAGCCGGCAAACATGATAACCAATAACACAACCTGAGGTAGATATACCATGATAGCTGTAATATAAATAAAAAATTAAAAACCACCAAGTCGTTACAAGAAAGTAAAATCTTCAGGTTGTTACAAATTAAGAGGACTGTGCAGCATTCAAAGCCGTTTATTTTTGGAGCAAATAAAAAAAACATTTCATAGCTTCAAATGTATTTTGTGTGACCACGTGTAGTAACTATACCTTCATAACTCAACCAAACAAAATAAAAAATTAAAACAGAGACAAAAAAATGGTCTGGCCAATCTAAAAGAACAAAAGAGAATAGTTCTTTTTTTTTAATAACAAAGCAACATTTCATGAACATGAAATTGGTTTGTTCATCTTTGGTACTCCGTATAACCAAGTCTCTCTAATAGATATCCCACTCATATTTTTAATCCCACTCAACCGGTGAAAAATATCCTTTTCAAATCATTACTGGACACGCCATGCCATCGGATGCTGTATTCAAGGCATTTCAAATCACCCACACAATATGCCTTCTTAAATAACACCCAGCGGCTAACTCAGAGTGCCCACGTTTTTACATTACGATTAAAAAGCATTCAAATTCCATATTTTTTTTAAAAACCGTTTTTTTCTCATCCAATACTGCTGCCACCCCTTTCAAATGCAAAAAACACCGTTTCTCATGAAACCGACTTTTCAAACATTACCATTGTTTTTCTCCTTTGAGTGTACAAAAAATTGTGTTGACTCAAAGCATTTTTCCCAAAAAAGATCTTAAAAGCATTTCTAAACATTTATTCTAAAATTCTACAATTTGCAATTGAAATTAATCCAGCAAAAAGGTGAATCTTCCAAAAATGAAGATCCTTTTCTCGCGTAAGTCTCAAAAAAAGCTGAATCGGCCCCCTCTAAACCTCGAATGCGAAACCCTCCCCACATCACAACCCAATGACGCAGTAACATCTACAACCGCCAATGCCGATCGTGAGTGATTTTTTTTCCTTTCTTAATACATCGTTGAAAAATGTCAGAAATATTAAGGCCAGCGAAAAAATATTTTTAAACCAATTAAACCCTACAATATAAAAAAAAAATGCACACGAACGGCTCTCCTAAACAAATAGGGTTACATTAACATCTACACAATTGCGCTCATTTCTATGCCAGACAATATAACTCATTTGTTTTTAAATAAAATGTATTACAAAAACCTTACAAGAAGACATAACTGTAACAACAAAAATCTATGTGAAGAACTAATGCATTTAATTTTGTCCTCGTTTCAATTCTTCCAAACAAACGCTACCATTCGATCCAATCACATGTATTTGTTTTTCACTTGTCATGCGCAAACCAAACATTTAACAATTTTTGACAGATTCTCATTTAAAAATAATTCTTCCATAGCAAAATAAAGGAATCTGAAGGTCAGCCATTGGATTTATGTTCTTTAAAAGAACTCATCCCAAAATAGCAGTCACGAGAACATTTTTAGTCAAAGGAAAAGTCCCGCTTGCAGCTTGTGCACACCACAGATGCATGTCGTCTTCTGCGTAGACATTTGCTGCACTAAAGGCCTTCCTCAGGACACACATCATCATTTCCTTTTGAAAAGTTAATCTGAAAAAAAAAATAGAGAGCGAAAGGAAATAGGTAAATATATCCGTACATTTGAATGACAAAATCTCACAACGTATTGGGATTATGAGAATTGCCGACCTGTGGGTCTGCCGTCATGAAATAAGTTCCGGTGAAGCCGTGTGTGGACAGAAGATGAGCACGAAATGAAGCGAAGGGAAGTCTAAACAGTGGAGCTCAAGTCAGCCATGATGTCTGCCCTCTAATTTTTGCAAATGGCTCTGCTGCTGTTGTTTATTTACACATCGCATGAACTGGGAATTATGCAACAATGTAATTTACAAACACTGTCAAAAATATACCACTGTCTGTGTTATCCGGCTTATAGCTAACATCACAAAAAAAGAATCCTGTATTTACTTTTTTAAAATTAATTTCCAACTCAAACATTGAGCACTGCAGATACATATATAACCTAGTAAACTCGATAAGGTAAAATTTTGATTTAAAGCTTTCGTGACTGCAGGGATTCATATTATTGGTTCTTTCGGTAGAGTCACGTAGAAGGGAAACAATACAATAATTTTGTTTCATATTTTCATTTAATTTTATTGTTTCCCTTCTACGTGACTTTACCGAAAGAACCAAGAATCTCAATAAGGCATTTAACGGTAACTTTTTAAAACATTATAAAACTGCATTAACTTTAGTGCCACCTTGGTCTCAAACACACATTGGCAGAATGGCATTTCCCGAAGACATTTGATGCAAACTTGTTATTTTTAAATAATGGCTGGGTCCCTACTGACAATAAGCACACGTATTTTCCAACATAATATTAATCTAAAGTTCTTCTTCTTTCACACGACTGATGTAGATGCAGAGCATCAACAACTACAATCTCACATTCAGGTGGTCAAGCCAGACAACCACGTCAGGAGCAGACGCGTGCATCGCTGCGACGTCTCCTTCGCATTTGTGGATCGGGCATTGCATCATTATGCTGTGTGGTCTGTTCTGGATGACCAGTCACACACTAGAGAGTTTTACATTTCACGATTGTGCATCATGTATCCATATCTGACATGGTTTGTGCAGATGCGACTTATATATTGTTTCATTTTATATTGTTTAACCATGTAAGAAACTCAAGACACCAGGATAGTCTCATTTACAAAAGTAACCTGGATAGCAATGTGTTACTCACCTCTTAGCTCCTCCCTGTCACTTTCCCTGCTGGTAGGAGTAGGCAGCATGGTCCTGTACTGTCTCCACAGAGATGGGCTGCTGATGCTGTCCACTGTGGTCCTGTCGGGGACACGTGTATGAATCCAAAATAATATGACTGATGTGGCCAATGGCGGAGCCAGGATTTTCAGGTAGGGGGGGGCAACCCCTCCAGTAAAGAAAAATGATAGAGGAGTTGTTAGTAAGTAAATACGTTGTTAGTAAGTAAGGACTTGTCCCTTGCTTTTTATTAGACACGTGTGCGGCGATGGCGCAGCCATCGATCGAGGGTCGAATTTGAACCGCGTTGTGTGATCGGCATCGCGCTCGCTGAAGGTGCTGATGCCTTCAGGGAAGTCGTGGGCTCTGTATACGCAACTGCGCACAGTTATGTGAGTCACTTATAACTGCTTTGCCGTTACTTATTGCCAATTATGGACTCAGACTATTGTCCTATCATCTTACAGAGTCCCTGACACGTAATATTATGCTACACAGTGGCAGTGGGGGTCGCAAAATGCCGATTTATTACTAATAAACCCCAACGATCCGATCGAAATTAGGGATTTTGATCAGATCATTGGAGGGGCACGTGCCACCCCCCCCCCCCCCCCACTGGCTCCGCCAGTGAATGTGGCTGATTTGATTCGTCGAGTTCCACCTTAGATGACAACAAATAAATTAACCATTGCATACAAAATATACATTATTGTACCAGACTTCTATGCTCCCACGTCTATGCTTCCCGCCTTTACGAATCTGCACTATCCAATTTGGTGAGCCACAATCAAATATACCCCCACTACCCGCATGGCGCTAATTAAGCAACAGATTGACAGAAGGGCTGTACATGGTCAGTGAAAGAGGTACCTCGTGGGGAGAGAGCTCACCTCCATGTTGGTTGGCGTGGGAGGCACGTGGGTATACTGTGGGATGTATGTTCCTTGCACGGGTCCGCCCGCTGGCATATACTTGAAATAAAAACAACAATACAAACTTGTTCATGAGAAGACCAGTTTACATCCGGTACCACAGGATCAGGCATTGCTTATATGAATAAAGATCTTAATTACTGTCAAAGGTATACACAACATATATATGAATGTAGAATGTAATATTTGGTATTTTTTTATTTACCCATTAAATATATCACAATAGTGCCATAGAAGAGTCAAGGAATGAGGAAATAAAAATGTATTCTCTGGAATTCCCATGAACTGGCAGAGCATCACATCGTGTCAGACAGTGGCACCAGACAGCGGCACCAGAAGATGACATCAAATACTTACTTATGTGATCTCTCCAACTCAGCACTAGATGGCAGTCATTGTAAATCAACCGATAATATATTTCTTAAAATAAATGTTAATCCTCAGAGGTGGTATGTGCCAAATTAAGCAAGAATGAAAAAAAAACTAAATCTAGTATAATTGTGGGGGGGTGGGGGGGGGTTAGCAGTGATTGGTGACCAAGCTGATATCACTACACTTAAGAATCTGGTTCAATTGCAGGTGATTGAATCCTAGATTTGAACCAAAGATTTATCTCCACAGTGCTGGCTCCATGGCTCTGACATAGGTATTACGAGGCCACCAAGTTACCCAGCCAATCCAGTGTTTTAATATTTCACCTAAACACATATTTACTGTAAATATTGAGATGATAGACTTTCACTGGGTTTCCTTTGGTTCTAAATGTGTGCCCATAACTAAGGAATTGGAAGCATCAAATCCCATTGCACCTTCAAGGGTCCCATGAATATAGACCAAAGCTGTCAAATGAGCTCTAAAACACAAAAGCCTGGCAGAAAAAGTCAGCAGTAAACCATTTATCAAAAGAGACGAACAAATCAATGACAGTCATGTCGGAGAACTTGAGAAGAATTTTATTGAAAGGCAAAAAAAAAACTCAAGCAAGTGAGCACAAAAGCATCAATCATCAATGACAATACCAACATCGGTGATATGATGGAAGGCAATGAATAGTGGAAACACGTCAAATAAATAAAGCAAAAAAACTTGTTTGCACATAAAACATGCAGTGTAAACATCAGCAAGAAAAATAAACGCCTACACAGGGCATTTTCTATTTTATGCACTCATAAGCCAAAACTTTTACAGATATGTCCTCTCTTAGGAAAAAGGTTTTGCTGCCTTAGGCAGCCTAGGGTTTTCTCCAGCATGTGTAATTTTGCTGTGTTCTATTAATCATGGTTTTATGTCTGGCAAGGTATAAATCACGTTGATTAATGACCTCTCTTAGTGTCCGTGTTGGAAGAAAATGTACAAATTACGCCTTGGTTATCTACCTCCTGTGCAATGATAAAGAAATCTACAGTAATTTGGCATCCAATACACATTTATATTTCATGCACTTGTGCTTAAAATAAAAAAATATATTTTTGTTAAACATTGCAAGAATATAAGTGTTGAATCGTCAGCCTTAATAGCGGGTGTTTTATGATCAACAAATAGAATCAGAGATCCATTTTTTAAGGATAATAAAATATTAATACAAATTGTAGCTCATTTAATTTGTTTTCAAGGTCAAACGGGAAGCATTTCATTTACCCATGTCGACTGTCAAGAGTGGCAGCGCTCACATGTGACAGCGCTCGCTGATTCACGACAACCACTCAATCGCCGTCGATCCGTAACCTCTTCATCTCTCTGCATGCTACTACGAACATCACGGTTGTTTGCTCTCTGGAGCTGTATGCCCTGATTTCGCTCCCAAATTCTGGGCTGTGGTTTCTACACTTGACCAATCTCTCTTATCCACACTGCTGCGCAGCTGCCCCACTGCAGGACAGGACATTTGTTCTCTCACTCTCTTCCCGCAGAGCTTGACTTTGGAACTTCCTTCTCTCGGTTCCGCCTTTCCAACATTACATAACCAAACTCAATTTAAGGAACGTGTCACCTTCCACCTGCTATCCTTACTCGAGATCTCTCTCTGCTGCTGTCCACTTTACATCAAAGACCAAAGAGCCTCTGTTTGGCAAATGTTTTTTTTTAAAGCAGAGCAAAATAAGTTATGCTGTGTCGCAGTAAGTCTCAAGAAAAGTGATCGTTCGCTCCAGCGTTTTACAAGAGTGGGGTAAACAGGGAGGGCCCACCACAACGGATGGCTGCTACGAGGTGTGTGTGCAACTCCAAGGCACGGCCCGTGGCTGCTGCTGCTGCTGACTTACAGTGGCAGCATTGCCGAGGGACATGTGTGACATCTGCTGCGCGAGTGGCCCCATCATGCCGGCCTGCTGCATGGACATGGCTGAGTCCATGGGGGGCGTCAGCACCGTGCCCTGGGGTGGACACGAGAGAGGAGGGTCGCAAACACTCGTATCAAGTAAGCTGGCGCAGACATATCGAGACGCGCAACTGCGTAGGTTTTGCGTGATTGAAATATGGTCAAAGAACAACCATGGCTGACAGTGTTTGGGGAGGCCTTCGCCCAGCAGTGGAATGGCAATGGGTTGTTTATAATAATAATCAAACAGTATTTATAGTTTATCGCGAAGGTTTCACATGAAATGTTTGATGAATTGTGGAGTCGAGAGACCTGAGGGTAGGGTTGGTGGATGACTTGGAGATGGAGTAATTAAGTGCACGGAAGGCGACACCCACTTTCAGTACGAAGTAGTACAGCAAGAAGAGTTGACACACCATATATGCGTGTGTGATTGTCCTGCAATCCAACGTCTGGTTATCTTGGTTTTGCAATAAATTGGATTCAACCACACAATGGGAAGGCTAACACTCAAAAGGAAATCCTGGGCAGGCATGGAATATGCTATCTCACGAGTGGGAGCTGTGCTACTTTATGCGCTTCTTACAGGGCTCACCCAGCCGAGCTGCACGTTGGTAAGTGAAATGGGATTTAACCATGCTTTGCCACACGATGGTGCTGTGAGTACATTAACATTGATAACTCTCTCTTTGGGGGGAAAATGTACATTACGGTACGTCACAGTGCCTTGGGATGACTTTAGTTGTCATAAAAAAATTGCACTATACGCCAAAATGTGTTCACATATCAATGTGATGCATCGTTGTGTAAAAACGAGACTTTTAACAGCTTAGCAATTTAACAATTTAAGTCCCGTTACGAAAACTGCAGGCGACAATAATAAAACCAAGCAAAGAGGTTGTTATTCTTCTGATTTCATACTCAAACTTTCCATAGCACCCAGCAGGAAGACGTTCATCTTGAACGCTAGCACAGTAAGCAATCGCGACGCTCCTTTAACATGATACTTACGTTGGCAGTAACATCTACATGTATTATGTTGGCAGTAACATCTACATGTATTATGTTGGCAGTAACATCTACATGTATTATGTTGGCAGTAACATCTACATGTATTATGTTGAAAGTAACATCTACATGTATTACGTTGGCAATGCAGTAACATCTACATGTATTATGCATTACGCCACTGGTCTGTCATTCTTTTGTGTATTTATTCCATTCCATTAAAGCCAGCCCCCAGGATCTGTACGGTGCAGATGTGAATCACACGGACTACTGCTGGGATATGAAACCCGTGCCTTGCTCCTCCAAGCTCTGCACATCACGACGCTGACTGTCGACGATGAACTGTCGGAGAACCTCTCTGTGCAATCGCAAAGCGCAATGCCCTTACTCATTTATTTTAATTACATTGCAAATGTCGTGTAAAAAAAAACATACAATTAATAAATGAGGTGTGCAATATATAAGTGGCTTAGACGAATTGTTTATTTATATCGCTAATATTGTGATTAAAAAGTGCATTTACAGTAATATCATTTGAAAAGCTAATTTCTAAAAGATTTAAACTGAAACTGTAATGTCTGCAACCCTTTCCTGCCCCTACAACAAACAGATTTTTCATTGTATAGTTCAGTCAGATGTGTACATATTCGTGGGGTGCTGCAGATATAAACATTTAAAGAAGATGCGTACGATGCATACGTAAAAACAAATTAAACACCAACAATTCTGATGTGACGGTGGGGCACGAGGCTGAAAATACCTCGCCACTGTTATCGTTAAAACTTTCTTGAAACAGAAAAGACACAGAGTAGGCAAATGCTTTGAGTAATTGCCCTTATTCAGATTAGAGGGATGAGGAGTTTAGAAGGTTTTGAATTGCAGTTGGAGACAGACTTTTTCAAGGCAGCAAAGTGTTCAATGCTTTTTCTAGGAATGCCAGACCAAACATTCGAGCTGCGTTCTGCCTGCTGTGAGGGGACTCCGTCTGAAACATTAGTCTACTTAAATAAAAAATTTTGTTATAAGGCAGTGTTAATAATGGTGGCGAGGCTTGTTTTTTTTTAAATCCTGCACTAATAAAAATATACTTTTTTAAACATGCCATGTCACCAAACATAAGACATTAATGTTCTGCACATTAAGAGAAAGCTAAGTCAACAGCTCTCAGTTGTTACATCCCTCTAGCATCATCATTTGATCAGTATTACAGGGCTGGCCTCTCAACTGAGGATTATTGCTTCATTAAGAAATTATTATAATAGTGGCTAAAGGCAAAAATTTAATTACATTATCCTGAATAATTAATTAGCACCGTGATTGGGGCAGATAAAATATAAATTTAGCTGATTTGATAGTTTTTTTAAATGTATTTATTATGTTCTGAATCAAAAGTCAGATAATTACAATTGATTTTTATGTTATTATTGCCTATTAAGGCAGTACAAAAACACATTCCTAATCCAACATTTAAAACGGCTTCTTTCTTAATAATGTAATTACAATGCAAATCATTGGGTTTAGAATTGCCAATTTTCCTTGGTTTGGAGGAAAAATAACAGTATTTCTGCAAGACCAGTTGTAAAAACATATTTATAGCGCAATGTACCTCATCCTTTAATGCTTTTGTGCTCTTTCTAATGCTCAGCTGAAAAGAAATGCTCTCCGCCTGCCGGTATTAAAATCCCGTTCAAGGTTAACCTGGGAAGGTTGAATAACCTCCAGAGATGCGCTCTTGCTCACGTTGCCTGAGTCAGCACACGTTGCCGGCTGGCTTCAGTCCGTCTGTTGTAGCCTGCACCTCTGCTGACATCAGCTGCCTATTGCCTAAACAACTTCAGGAAAGCCCTTCACCCACGCTCACTCTTGCACTATCAATCGGCGTGCTATCGACTCGCACTCTTGGCCACCAATGGACTGTGCCAATATGTCTCTATCAACATGGCGTGACAGATTAGGCAACTCCATTATCTTTATATATTCCCTGAGCCTTGGCGCTATAGACCGCGCGCATCAAGGACAACCGCATCGCGATGATGTCCCTTCTTGCTGTGATTCTCCTTCTTTCTGTTAATTTATCGAAAACAATATTGTTATTGGAAGCTGCTCGATGTGGTTACAATAGCTTGCTCCTCCTCATTACAGTTCTGTGCCATTTGAACAAGCAAAACGTAGTAAAATAACCTTTATTTATCCATTAAAAGCCTCACTGAGTCTCATGACTGCAGCATAATGATGTTTATTCCCACTCTACGTGACTTTACCGCAAGAAGCCAGAAGATGTTTAACCAGTTCATTAATGAGTCTTTTGCATGTGGGAGGAAACCAGAGTACATGGCGCCAGGGAATAACTCTAAAAAAGACATGCGTCCTATTTGTTGCGCTATCATATATTGGTCTACTGGCAGCCTGGTAGCCCTACCGCTTAACGGTAACAACGCTCGATTATAGTTTTACTTTGCCCAACAACCCCATATCTAAAGTTCCAGGATACAGGCATGCATCACTGAGTGTGGCACAGCAGCGTATTCAAGTGCCAATGGATAATTTTGCCATGAAACCTCACACAGAGACCCTACACAGAGTTAGAACACTTCACATTGCTGCGACCCATCACACAAAACAGGAGGCCAGGATTAACGTAAAACCATGGAACCTTTGATTCAGAATACTCCTAGCGGTACCACTGTCTCATTCAGCCTCCCCAATGCTGCCTGCGGTGGCAAATACACCCCAAAACCACCAGTGCTGTAACAGAAGAAAGTCTCTGATCATGCTTTTCATCTGGCGCGATACAATAGGAAGAGGCCACATTAGACACAATAGAAACAAAACTCCACCTAATTAGAGCATACCTCAACAGAGGCATTGTTAGATGTCGTGTAGCGTCACGAGCGTTCTGCCCTCGCAAGCCATTCTGAGAGAATGCAGTATGAGCAGCTCCTAAAAATCGCCTGCCTCTGTTTCCGGGAAGAATGAGCGCGACTCTTCGGCTCTCAAATGATTTAGCGTTAGAATACAAGCATTTAACAGTTGCCTGGATCGTTAAAAGCGACTGGGAGAAACATGTGTCTTGATTTGATAATGGTCCATCACCACGCATATGGTCTCAATTATAGGCGATGGGGGAGATGGGAGTCGTGCATAAAGAGTGCTGATCCATTTGTACGGTCGCCATGCAGCTTTGCGAAACAAAGCTAGTGGTGTGGCATGAAAACGTTCTCCTGTTAACACTGCGGCAACGTTTAATTGAGAAATAAATGGAAGGGCAATAATAATACCGCACGCAAAAGAGAAATTGTATTCCATTATAGTCCGCATTTAGTCTTCAATAAAGGTATTTTTGAAATTTAATTGGGAAGAAAAGTTGGACTATTCAACCTGATAACATAAAATGTAAGCCAGAGAGAGTTTACTTTCTGTGTTTGTGAAACCTGAATCGATCAGTCTTGCACAAAACCAATATACTAAGCATGACGTATTAACATTGTTATCATGTTTTGTTTTACACAAAAATGCACTTGTGTCACTGTTTGGTTTTGGCCTCAGGATGCTTGATTTATTCATTGTTGGTCTTTCTACGTCAGGATTGTTTTACATTGATACAGGTTAACAGGTTTATAGCGCAGTGCGCTAATCACCGTGCCACCACTCCACCCATTCCACATAACAATTCCAAATTGAAATTCCAAAATAAAAGGCTATTTGGGCATAAAGGTGACTTGGTAACAGCCACGCACCATGGGTCTGTGCTGGAATCCATACTCTTTGGTTCTTTCGGTAAAGTCACCGACTTTACCGAAAGAACCAAAGAGTATGGAAAACAGATTTATGCAAGTGGCATACAGCAAGTGAGAGGGATCTTGCGCAAGTTTAAGTCTCAGACAAAACACGCCGTATTTGGGTCATAGCCTTGAGGATTGACAGAAGCAACTGAGTGTTGGGTCGGAAGTTAAGGACAGCCCGAATAAAGTTCTAAGGGTTTGTGGTTGAGAGCAATAGTGACGGAGGATGACAGCCGTTTGAAATGGCTGCCTGGGGTCAAGAGTGCATTTGTGCTTCGACACATCGTAACACTTCGTAGAACACCCGGGAGTCAATGCACATTACCAGGGGAAATTAGTTTCCATTATTTGCACTGCGTTTAGGTCCCAACAGATATCCGTTTGTCATTGAAGTTATGTAATTCACATATTGCTGAGCTATCATCATCTACCGTGGCTGCCGCATTGCTCTGAACAGATGGACAGCTGGACAACAAGTGAGCATTTGGAAAATGTTGGTGATATTTGTTTAGAATGATGCCTCTTAGCTGCTTTGTGACTTCTGTATAGTGTCAGAATGAGGGATTATATTTATGTATTAAATTATTAAGACCGAGACTGATTGTGCTGGGTATATTTACCGCGCAGTTCACTTTACTGCTCTCATGTCCAAAATTCAGATTTTCCAGAAAACGGTGGACAATGTGATAGCCGCCGTATACTTAGGAATAATAAAATATGGATTTCACTGTTGAGCACGTAGCTTGATTTATTGTAAATTACACATTGCAGGGATAAGCGAGCCAGTAGACATATTGAGCTATCACTGAAACTGCCAAAAGTAAAACTTTAATGTAGGTTATGCCCTGGCAGTCCCAGTGCAAAGGAACAATTACTCTGCTTCCTGTGGCAAGGGATGTGTCGTAAAATTCATAGCAGGTGGGCAGTAAGCTTTATTGAATGCACAGAGAACTGCAACAATGTAAATATTTATTTTAAAACATAAATACAAACATTGCTCTCATGTCGAGTTTGAGTGCTGTGTTTACTCAAAACAATCCATGTGCAGGAGCAACCTTCCGAGTTATTTGGTGATTTTTATGAAGAGAAAATGAAAGCCACTTAAACACAAACGGTACAAGGCAGCATCATGACCATGTAAAGCCCAATATGATACAACTGCAATGAAATTTAGATGTATAAGGAATATGAATGTCACCGCATGTCAAGATTCAAATACATGAGGCAGCAAAACAAATGTGTGAAGGCACTAATATTAAGATGGAACTAGTGATCAAGTGAGCAGGGAGTGTGTAGGAAAAATAAAAAAGACATTTTAAAGCACAGCTTAACGTGTGTTTAATGGGCACACATTTCAATTGAATGTTCCTAATACTGTAATTAAAATGCAGGATTGTGTGGGCAAATGTACAAGTGAATTATTGTTCACATATTGCGCTAAAGCCTAACTGGGATGAAGGCCATTATGAATGCACAAGTGTGATCACATGCGTATCACACAGCGAGTGAGGGGAACAGCGCATGTGTGTGTAAGTTACGGAATATTTACGTTGCTCTGAAGGCTTCTCCTGCCGGATTGCTCCATGTAAACCAGCTGTGTGTGTGTGTATAATGAAAGCAATTAAGAATATCTTTACGTATAAATTTCCCATGTGCACTAACAATTATTATTAATCCTTATATCAGGTAATTCTACAAATCAACACACTCAAAGTAGCACTTGGTAAAATGAAAAAGCTGATGACCGTGGTGGCGCTTCTCTTTGAACGCATCACCACACAATTGTGTGGTACAAACACTTTACCAACTGAACACAATGACAATATCAACATCATCAGAAAAATAACATGCAAAATATTTCAACCAAAAATAAACCTCTTGAAAATATCTTCTTTGGTTCTTTCGGTAAAGTCACGTAGAATGAGAATAAAATAATAAAATAAAACAATAAAATTCTCACGACGTTTCGGCCACAACCCAAGTGGCCTTCTTCAGGTGAAAGGAACAAGCTAAGATTTGCAGCGTCTTTTAAGCTTAAAAGACGCTGCAAATCTTGTTTCGGCCACTTGTGTTGTGGCCGAAACGTCGTGAGAATTTGATTGTTTTATTTTATTATTTTATTCTCATTCTACATGACTTTACCCAAAGAACCAAAGAAGATGAATCCTTGCAGTCACGAAAGCTTTAAATCGAAAAATCTCTTGAAAATAATACATAGGATTCAGTGAGGCTGTTGTGGATTAAGGAATTATCATTATTATTATATAATTGGCAAAGCATTTAGAAATAGCCAGGGTAGATATGCTGTGTGGATATCCACTGGCAGTTAAAGAGAGATTGTTTTTATTTTTTTATGGCATAACTCTGATATTTAGGCACCGAGGTATAAAAGTATTACACTTAAAAGGTGCTTGCTTATCTTAGAAACTGTCCAACAAGGACAAGAATACCTCAAAGGAAATACAAATCTACACATTGTGTATGTGTGTGTGTGCCTGTGCATGGGTGCTTGTGTACATGCTGGGTTAAACGATTATATAATTCACCGATTAATCTGCCGATTACCAATTCGAATACTTGACTAATTGGACAAATCAAAAACAGTTGTAAAAAAATATGTATCTTCCCACCTTGGTTCCCACGTTTGTCACTGGACAGGAGGTGATAGGTGGGGTGTGTAGTGGCGTCATTGGTATAATCAGCTGGGTCACGCTGGACATGCCTTGTACGGTGTTTCCTGCCTTCAGGAGGATGGATTATGGGGCGGCTGCCATTTTTTAAGTGCCAGAGTAATCGAATATAAAAAGTTAGCCGATTATGTAATGTTTAGTCAATTAAACAATATTATTGACTCATCACCCTGGGTCTAGTCTAAATATAAGAGAGATTGCGAACCTTCACCAGTGCGGGACTGATTAATCAAGTGACTGGGCATTTTATTGGAAACTGATGCTTCGCATACATGGAAATGGGAGCATATGAGTAGAGTACACCAATGGATTGTGTTTCACTGCCGCCTGATGCCCACCACGTTGCACTGCAGCCTATTACACATTTTAGTCCCGGTGGTCATTCATCGAAGCACGGTCAACGCTGCTTAGCTTCCAAAATCTGAGGAGATCGAACTAGTTGTAGATGATTTGGCAATATGCCTATGAAACATCCAATGCTTCAATGTTCTTTAAATACTGGATGAGTGGTGCACTAACCACGATTAAAACTAGCCTAAAAATCAATGATTCCAGTTGAAATTAGTCAAGAAGGTCAAAATCTCCCCACACTCAAACAGGCGTGAGGCGGAGCTCAACCTCTGTTGGCGGTACCGAGTCAATTGTGAAAATTCCAAATTTCTATGGAGCAGTCTCTCCGTAGGACAACTACCAATGCTGACTTGTGGTCTTCGTTAAAGCAACCCAAGGTGGATGGATGACTTACGGTGGGTTCTCTGAGAAAATGTGTCTACACGAGCAGGACATGCACACTGACAATGTGCAGTGTTAACACGTCCTTGTAACGGGGTCAATCAGGGGTCATGCCTCTCGAGCAATGAGTCGCACGACAGCAGCGGCACTGCAGCTCACAATATTCTCATTCGTCCACAAAGATACGACGATATCAAGATGGCATTGATGTGTGCCGCATTACTAACAGCTGCGTTCGCACGAAATAAAGGGCTTTTAATGGCCTACGGCGGAAGTTATTCCTATTGCCTCCTTAGATGAAAGAATACAAGGGCTCCCAATCAAGCACAAGTTTCGCCATGCGATCGCGCATCACATTGTTAATGGTGAGTGCCCACTGAAATTGAGCACAGCTGCAAACATGCGGGTGCCTCTTAACATATTCACATTCAGCGAGTGAATGTTTCACAGCCAAGGTTATAACCACATTAAGAGTGTTATAGAGCATTGAGCGCAGCTACAATTGAGTGCAGCAAAACATATCCTTGGTTCTTTCGGTAAAGTCACGTAGAAGGAAAACGATAAAATAATAAAAATATTAAACAATAATTTTTATATTTTTATTATTTTATTGTTTCCCTTCTACGTGACTTTACCGAAAGAACCAAGAATATGAATCCCTGCAGTCACGAAAGCTTTAAATCAAAATTTGCAGCAAAACACTTAACACCGAGAAGCAAAGCAGAATATCACGGCTTAAGTTTAGAATACATTTTAATTCGGTAGGGTGGAACTGTGACTTGGGCTAGTGCCTGACCTGCGATTATAAAGTTTGTGCGTTCAAAGCCTGGCCAGGGCTCATCTCAGCCCAACATCCCTCCAGAGTCAACAAAGTGAGTACCACTTTGTGAGAAGTTAAATCGTCTTTGTCGTATAGACAGGTTAACCCGCCATGGAAATGTGGAATTTCAATAACTGGCTCAGGGTCACCAATGGAGGTGAGTGTTGCCCAAGTGACTGTGCGTTTGTCTTGAACCTTCAATAGCTGCTCCCCACATTGGCTTTGCAGAAATAAATGATAGAGCTGCTAGCATTATGTGGGAGATTGTAACTACAAGCAAAACAAACAAACTACTTACAATGACCTGCTATTAAGAAGGGCATTTACCCAATACTCCCTCACCAATTATTTCGTCTTCCTTTTTGGTCAGTGCTAGTGACAAATACTTAGTTTTTGTTATTTGTGCCTCTGCTTCACTGCCAATACAGTATCGCAATTTTTTGTTTGTTGAAATGACCTACTTAGGTACATGTGCAATCAAAAATGCAGTCTAACCACGCAAAAAAAAATCACTGTGGTTCAAATCGTATTCTTGTAAAAGCACTAAACAGAAAGCTCTGTATAATACATGTGCTTCTGTACTGGAAGGCACCAAACATATGCTTGCCCCCAGATTTTGCCAAATAACCAAAAGTGGCTATTATGAAAATAATGCTGCATTGGGTTGGACATCTCGGCAAATTAATACAATTAAATACCTAATAGCATCAGTCCCACCAGAACTATGTAACATTTTCTTTTTACATTTACTTATGATCTCACTGAGCAGCATTTTAAAGAAGAGACCCTCCAAGTAAGGCACAAAAAATGCCAATGGTTAATAAAACATGACAGCTAGGACGTTTGTTCTTATATCTCTCCACATTATGCTGTCTATTCATAGCACCACATAGCAAAATTATTTCAAAAGACAAGTCGGTCAGAACGCTCTGCTAGCATTTTCTCTCTCTCGTGCTGCTCTGCAGCAGTGCCACTGTCAGAAACATTATCCCATTATACGCGATTCAATTTTAAGGGAGTGTTAATGATGGCAGTAGCAAGGTGGTATTTTGAGTTGTGTCTAAAATAGGTATGGAGCTTCGAGCAGCACGAATGGTGCTGTGCGCGCCTCTGAGATGCTCTTACCGTGGGCTGCATGACGTATGGCTGATGGGGCATCCAGGATGTACTCTGGACCTGCGAAAGAGAGACAGAACAGCGTGAGAGTGTGAGTTGTCACACCTGGTGCCCTGCGACACCGTAAAATACAATAAAAACACTTTGCATTACGACAATTTGAGAAGGGGTCTCTTGAGGCAAACAAACGAGAAAAAAACAGCGCCCCCGCGTTCGGGAGTGTTGATGAAGCTCATTACGAGCCGCCCTACCTGGTAGGTGGAAACAGGCGATGCAATGTAGGGTGCCATTGATGTCTGTGCGATCATCCTGTTTGCCGCGATGCTATACGGCGATGGATAAAAACTGCAGAGTGGAGAAAGATACGTTATATTTATTTATTTACAGAATGTAGGTTAACACATGCCTTTGAAAAAACACATTCCATTTCTGTAAATGTACATTTTCAAAAAAGTAACTGTTTTTCATTGCCAACATCATGGCGCACTGGGTGCAATGCCGAAATTCGGATGGCTGGCAATATAGTCAGAGCCCTTGACTCACGATCTGAAGGCTGCAAGTTCAAATTCCAGTTGGGGAGCAACTCAGCCTCAGATTCCTTTTTAGCGGTGATAATATTGGTACCACTTTGTGATCACAAAAGTGGTTTTGTTATTGAAACAACCAGTCCACTGCCATGGGAATGTGGAATGTATATACCACTGGCTCAGGGGAACCAGCGATGGTGAACTCATGCTACCAGGAAGTTACTTTGACTTTTACGAATATTTGACATTGCAGAATCGCACAAAGTGCATAGAAAAATGCAGCGCATTTGGCAACACGTCTGTTACGCAATAGGCTTATTTTGTACTTATTTTTAGCTCTTACCCATTCTGTAGCGCTGTGGGGTCGTATGTCACCGCAATTCCAGTCTGCAGAGTGAGTAAACCAGAAAAACCCGTATATGGAAAGCATTTCAAGAGATACACAAAGTCTACAGGCAGAAACCGCCAGCAAATACTGAAACAATGCACTGTGGTTTGTATTGTGGCCATGTATGTATGTAGAACTTATTTCTCACTGTACGTAGCCAACCGCGCTCATTGGAGGTGGGGTGAAGGACAACAAACCAAACATAAAAAGGAGTGCTAAAGAAATTAGTTTTAATTCTAGATTTAAAAGTGCATAGCTCCAGTGGATTCCTAATATCAGAAGGAAGAGCATTCCAGATAGCCACAGAAGCTAATCCGAGAGTGTGTGTGATGCAGTGACCGTTTTTGTTTGATGGCTAGTCAAAAGCCGCTGTGAGGATGACCGGAGTTCACGTGATGGTTTATGTTCCTTGACGAGATCAGCGAGGTATTGTGGTTCATTTGTTTTCAAGCACTTTGTGTGCAATGAGTGCGGCCTTGTGGACTGCAGCGAGGGAGCACTCACCTCGCCCTCTCTGGGCCAGGCCCTGCCGTTCTGCGTGTACTTGTTTTGGTTCTGTCGCTTTTTCTGTCCCCCATCAGCAAACTTGCACAGCAGCGGTTCTGGAGGGACTGGGGAGTGAGTAGGTAACAGCACGTTGAGGACTTTGGCGTGAGAACGGTTATTACAGCGCAGGCGGCCGGCATGCTTACTTGTAACGGAAGCAGCTCATCACCCACTGGAATGTAAAGGGGCAAGCTTTTTATTATTATTTGTCATTTTTCAGTGTTGGTCAAATAAGAAGTTAAGGCGATCAAATTCCTTTCTTAATATAAGAATACCCAGTACTATTTGACAAGCGGAGACAGGTTCGTGCAGAAAGCCAAAGTGGTCGAATGGATTACAGGTAAGTAGGCAGGCTTACAGGTAAATATACTACATCACACTGAAGTATTTCAAGAGCATTCCATGCCGATTCAAAGCCGTGGGCTTCATATAGGAGTGAGTAGGCCAAGCATCTCACAGAACTGGCACTACCTCACATGGAGCTTTCATTCAAGATACTGCAGTATTATTCTGGCCCTACTGTGTTTCATTGTTGTTCCCTACTCATCGGAACTTTCCGTCTGAACCAACTCGTAACTGGAATGTGGTAAAGCACGCTTGTAATCAAGTGACTTACGAATCAAGCAGAGATGGATATTTAAGTTAGATACACCCTTATAGGCTATTGAGGCATCTGTAGGATTCATAATAGGTGTGTTTCTCATAGAGGGTTTACTACATACACTTTTACATGGCTTAACCATAAATCAACTAATTATTGTGAAAGCCTCTACGTTAAATTAAGTACTTTTAATTCAAAAAGTCTATCATAATGGAGCCAAAAGCCTCCACGTGTATTGACGTGAACTTTATAAGAGGGTTTGAAACTATGGTCACCTGCAAGCACACCCAATAGAAAATGGTCACATGTTGACAGTTAATCCAGGGAATAAGACGCAGACACATGCAAGGCATTCCACGATGTACACAGAGATCTTGGCAGTGCAGACAAAGAACAGAAAATCACTGAGTGCAAGTTCAGCGGCTGCAGATGCCAATTGAGGCACACTGCACGTTCCAACACGCGCACACAAAGTCAACTTTAATCCCACGTAGCGGGTGGCCTCCTAAATTGCAAAAATTGTATCTTTCCTGTGGCAAATCAATCACTCAAAGGGCTCTTACTGCCGCAGGCATTTTAAACCATAAGTAGTTCGCCTTAATCCCACTAATATTGCAAAAAATGTATGTATTATGGTGGTATATTCGCTTGCATTTGTAGAGTTTGACTCACAGTTGGAAAGTTTCGAGCTCAAATTGGAGTTGGGGGCTTATTCAGCCTATCATTCCTGTGTGCTAGTAAAATAAGTACTATCTTGTGGAAAATGAATACAGTAATCTCTTGGTTAACGTTTTTAATCCATTCCACGAAATCTAGTGTTAACCGAAATTACTGTTAATCGAATAATAGGGTTTTTCCCCTTTTTTCTGGCAACAAAACTGAAACCTTTTTACAAGGATTCATGTCTGCATTAACCACAATACCTGCAGTCAAAATGCAAAAAAAAACATACTATGATAATATATGCATTGTCCTTGAAACTGATTGGTCCACACCAAGGGACGGCTTTCTTTTGAGCCTCAACCCAATTGGTGCTCGACCAGATGACGCCAGAAGGCGTACAGCTCAAAGACTATCAAAGTAATGAGGGCTCATAAATGGCGCTAGCGTGCATAACGTAAAGACACTGTTAATCAAAAATCTAAAGTTAGTCGAAACCATGGGGACCTATGGGAGGCAAAACGTTAAACGAAAAGCGGTTAACTGATGCCACTGTTATTCGAGGGACTACCGTATTTTCCCGCATATAACCCACGGGGTATACCACTTTTTACAAACAAAACAAGACCCTGCGGGGTATATGGAGGTGCGGGCTATCCCAAAAATATTTTACACGTGTGACATGTCATAACTCGTTTAATTTTTTCATAGTAGGACTATCCACTATGCAACACTTACCTTTGACTAAAGCACTGCTGAATAAACCACTAAAATTGCACGTTAATCATTCGAATTGTTTGTACAATGTTTACATTTGCCCGTAAACTAAACATATCGCGGCCAAACATTAAATATGAATATGAATAGAGCAGTAACCAAACGTAATGGCCTGTAAACAGCATAGAAAGTCTAATAATGATCAGACGGTACATTCAAACAAACTTTATTTTATTATAAATGAATATGATGCCGAGGCAGCCTGTTTGCTAAAGACTGTCCACGTTACATAGACAAATTTAAAAAAATAGCTAACATTAAAATGCAATGTTAATTTCAACGTCAGCATCATTTATGCCAAGTAGCAGACTCACTATCATTACCATTGATGGCGACTGTTGAAACGGCCCGGTTATTATCACGTAGTGCCCTCACCTACTTGGCCGAGTTGTCCTCCAACTGTGGCCACTTTGCCTACGGTCCTCTTCTAGCACGTTTTCGTGGATTCATTGTTATCAGTTCAGCAATAATTTTTTTTCCATTCACGAACAGACTTTTCATCGACCGAAAACGATTTTCCCGCAGCTCTGTTGCCTTTATCTTCCACAAATTCACAAACTTGAAGCTTGAAGTCAGCGGTGTACGACTTACGTTTTGGCGGCATTATCGTAACGGTTATTTAAGTAATTGTAATTAACTACGGTATAGCGACTTTTAATTACATGAAATACGCACAAAACAACAGTATGTATACTGCAAAAATCACACTCAAGAACACTTTGAAACGACAATGTTTGAAGTGGGCACACTTTGTTTAATATTTTCAGTGGCTGTACGGGGGTGCGAAAGTTTCAGCTGAGGCTATGGATTGCACAATGGGAATGGCCTTAACAAGCGTCTACCAGACGCGGAATCATAATTGCTGAGTCCCTTAGGCCGCTGCTATTGGCTGAGCACTATACAGTCGCGACCATGAACTTTGTTTCAAACTTCCAATGGCTTTGTTGCCAGGAGGCAATGGCGTTACCGTAGTGCCGCTATTGTCTGCACATGCGCAATCTACCAGTGCTAAAACTGTGCAGGGGTAACTATCGGTCCAGTAGCTGTAATATAGTGTGGTCGAATGCTGGTAAGCCTAACAGTACGCTTACTTACTTATCTACCAGTTATGTGTTACTTATTTATTGGGTATTTACTGTTGTTACTTATTTACTGTTTTAAGTTCACTCGTTTCCGGTTAGTTTTTTTTCTTTGTGCACGTTATGATGGTAATGTTAACAATTGATAGTGGAATGTATTACAAATGTAAACTTTGTATTAATATGATGGAATTAAGCTGCGGTAACGACGTTAAAGATATGAATGCATGTGGGGTATGACGATGTGGGCTATCTAAAATTTGTTTTACACAAAACGCTATTTTTGCGGGGTATATGCATCTGCAGGTTATATGCTTATGCGGGTTATATGCGGGAAAATACGGTACTGTAAATGGTCATCTTGGTCCCTGTGACGGGAATGTGGAACTTCCTCCATTGGCTCAGGGCTGCCAATCGAGATGAATATCGCTTGCTTGAAGAGAAAGACACTGACCTTTTTTGTTCACCCAGATCTCCCTTGCTAAACAGATTTACAGGAGTGCATCGATGAGCTGTTACCAAAGCCAATTAAAAAAAGTGAATGAAAAAGGACTGAGCGAGCAGACAATGTGTGGATGAGATTGGCATTCCATTTAATCATGCACGCATATTTATCTGTGTGCGTGAGCACTTATACAATATAAGTGTAACACAATTAGCTCAATCTTTGAATCTGCCCACTCACAAAAAACTCATTATACTGCACACTATTTTGGCAAGCAGACACAAAGCCCGATAGCAGAGGACATATTAAATAACGAGTCAGATTTTAAGATAACTTGTAAAAATTTCAAGCAAATTACTGTAGCTTTTTTTGCAATTCAAAAGTGTTTGTTTTATTTCACTGGTGATTATACTGCATGTAATATCTTCCTGGTATGTTTTATTGCACTTTTATAGGGCAACATTGGTCTATTTCACAGTGACATTTGTTTTTATTGCAACAGAACTGTGCTGCAATATGCGCACATATATTCTGGAGGAGGCTTGAAACTGTGCTTCATGGGAGAAACAGAAAATATTTAAAAAGCCGATAAGCAAATGTTCCCACAGATTTTGTATTGGGGGGGGGGCAGACAGCCTTTGTGGACAAAAAAAATATCTGTTGCAGCTGAACAGGACACGTCAGCTGCTCAGTCAGCATTGGGTCTCTCTTAACACCTGGACCGGGCTCAAAAGTGCCCAGTGCCCCTGAGGTGGCATCTGCTTCTCAACCAGTTAACGGGCCAATCCTTCCAAGCTCATCGAGGTGACCAATCAGCAGAAGGACAATGCCAATTAACTGATCTACAGGAAAGCTACCCATACGGATGCTTACTTAAAACCGGATTCGCACCACCATCCATCCCAGAAGAATTCCCTCATCAAGACTCTATACCATAGAGCCCAGTGCATTGCCGACCAGGAACACATTGCTAGTGAACTCAAGCATGTACACCAAGCTCTCAAGGCTAATGGTTACTCCGGCTACACAATCCGCAAAGCCATCACTCCAACCATGAAGAAGGATCCTCTTGAGGAGCCATTCAAAACCATCACCTTACCCTACATTGCGGGGGTCACAAAAAAGATCTCCAAAATCCTGAATAAACACAAGATCCAGGTCCGATTCAACACAGTACATAAAATCCGTGATCTGGTTCCATCTGTAAAAGATGTGGTTCCAGGCATACAGTACCCGGACGTCTACAAACTAAGTTGCCTCTGTGGTAGCAGCTACATTGGAGAAACCAAACGACATATCTCGGACCGCATTCGTGAACATAAAGCAGACTTGAAACATGGTAGAACGAACACCTAGCCATGGCAGATCACTGTTATAATTCAGTGGGCCAACATGACATTGACTTCTCCAAGACGGAGGTTCTCTGCGAGCCATCCGGCTACCATGAGAGATTCGTTCATGAGGCCATCCACATATACAAACACAGAGACAATTTCAACCGAGAAGATGGATTCTGGCTTAGTGACCATTGGAAAGACGTTATAAACCATTTCGGTTCTTGATTGATTGTATTTTACGGTGACTTTCAGACCGCAGTCCATTCGCTGGCACTGCCTATTAGTACCTATCACACGACGGTCAATAGTATAGTTTATAGCATTTGTATAATAATAAATAGTATAACAGTGTAATGTTTAACATAATTCATAAGGCAATATATAGTACCGTAATTGTATAGTGAATATACAGCAGTGTGGTATACAGTAGGGTTAATAGAATAATACATAGTGTAATACTACAAGTCTAAAATTTTATAGTCTAAAGTATAGGGTAGTGTATAGTAACGCATTGTATAATTCAAGGGTGGGATTTGTCTATGGATACGATATTATACAATGTAGTTTAGATTGGAAGGTATACTATTATATTGTATAGTAGTCCAGTTTATAGCATAGTTATAACGCAACACAGGACAGAGCAGCGCACCGTGGCCGTTTCCTCCTCTTCACCCCCCCCCCCTCCTCCGTTCCGAACATAGATGGACTCGTCCGTCTGAACACAAGCTCGTCGTTCTCCGTGGTGTTAATCCCTCATGCTAACACCATGCTAATCCCCCAGTTACATGCTAATTTACTGTTGATATGTAAACTGCTGCTAATCCCTCACACCAACATTATGCTAGTCCCCCAGTTACATGCTAATTTATATGTAAACTCCTCTCCCCCCTCCCCTCGTCCATCTGAACAAAGCTCGTCGCTCTCCGTGGTGCTAATCCCTCACACCAACATCATGCTAATCCTCCAGTTACATGCTAATTTATTGTTAATATGTAAACTCCTCTCCCCCCTCCTCCGTTCCGTACATAGATGGACTCGTCCGTCTGAACAAAGCTCGTCGCTCTCCGTGGTGCTGATCCCTCACACCAACATCATGCTAATCCCCCAGTTACATGCTAATTTATAGTTAAACTCTTCTCCCCCCTCCTCCGGTCCGAGCTCGTCGCTCTCCGTGGTGGTCATCCCTCACGCCAACATCATGCTAATCCCCCAGTTACATGCTAATTTATATGTAAACTCCTCTCCCCCCTCCCCTCGTCCATCTGAACAAAGCTCGTCGCTCTCCATGGTGCTAATCCCTCACACCAACATCATGCTAATCCTCCAGTTACATGCTAATTTATTGTTAATATGTAAACTCCTCTCCCCCCTCCTCCGTTCCGTACATAGATGGACTCGTCCGTCTGAACAAAGCTCGTCGCTCTCCGTGGTGCTGATCCCTCACACCAACATCATGCTAATCCCCCAGTTACATGCTAATTTATAGTTAAACTCTTCTCCCCCCTCCTCCGGTCCGAGCTCGTCGCTCTCCGTGGTGGTCATCCCTCACGCCAACATCATGCTAATCCCCCAGTTACATGCTAATTTATATGTAAACTCCTTTGTCAAGGCGCTCTGTTCCTCCCACACAGCTTAAAAGACGCTGTCCATGCTTGGCAGTGTTCACTCAAGCGCTGTCTTCCGGACAGTCCTGTTTCTTCACCTGAGGAAGGCTACTTGTGTTGTGGCCGAAACGTCGTGAGAATTTTATAACTGATCACAGTAAAGTCAAACTGCCCTCCTGCTCAAACAAACGTGGGTTTATGCTCATCTCTCCACCGCTGACTTGGAGAGAGTGGCGGAAATTTAACATTCCTATGCAGGGGGCTGGTCTGTCCATAGAATGATCGGTGATAACATCTCACAAAATGGTACCTGTTTTATTGATCAAATAGAATGGTGAGTTGAGTCAACTTCCAACTGCAATTTCAGCTCGGAATTTGTTTTTATCGTAAGTCAAGTGCTCTGCTCAGATACCACCCAGCTAGAACATTTGATAAATAATCCCTGCAAATTAACCTTGAGAGCAAGACAAATTAACGTGGGTTGATTTTCACGAAGAATAAGCCCTTAATAAATGTGATGTACCACCGCATCATTTGGGAAAGGATTTAAACGGTATTAATTATAAATAATGTACAAAAACACAGGCTGGTGACATAGTGTGAGATTAAGTAAATGCATTTTTGTTTGGGCACCTGTACATAGTTTGTCACAAATATTACAATAACCATTTTAATGAACACTCAGCTCACTTTTGCCATTCTGCTTTTACCAGCTCTAATGGAAAGGAAACTATTTTTGAATTCTTGCACTGCTGATGCACGGGTGTGCGGTTACATTTGAAGGAATGAAAATAAGCAGATTGGATGGGCTGAGATGACGGAATCTGGACAGCTGGCGAAGCAGGTAAAGGTGCTCTTACCTGGAACTCCGGGAGGAATTTGGATAAACTTCCCGTTGAAATTCTGTATGACCGCCTCACATTTCTCCGTGGACTCCATTCTGCATTGAAAACAAAAGACATTGGTTAGTTTGCTTGACACATTTGTCACAGATGCAGGTGGTCAGGAGGCACAGAAAAAAAACACATTTTTGACCTGTGTGTACAGCAGAGCTGGAACTGTGAAAACCAAATTTGATTTTATTCATGCAGTCATTGGTAACCGAGCCGAAACCAGCAACTCACTGCACTTGAGAACTTGAATACATCACGCGCGTGGCCACCCACAGTCGAACCTATGATCTCGCCAGCGCCGGCTCAGTGCTGCTCCGACACAACATTAGCCCTCTGATCCACGGGGTCACCTCAGCTGCGGTTCCGTGCATCACGCGCGGTTGAACGGGCGGTCGTCGAGGGGTACGTGGGGCTCGGGGGAAGGGAGGGGGCTCACCGAGCGAATCCGACCCCGCGGCTCGTGCCGTTGGCGTCACGGAGGATGCGCGTGGAGATGACCTGGCCGTACGGCTTGAGCATGCCTTCCAGCTCCTGCTCATCCATGGACATGGGCAGGTTGGAGATGTAGAGGTTCGTTGGGTCCTGTTCCTGTTGCTACAAGAGGACAAAAGCCTTTAGAAATGTGCGCGTTTAAATAGTCAAACGATACATCAAAGAATAGCAAAACTTTTCACGAAATCAAATCAGCCAATTCATGAATGCAATCATAGGATCGATCACTCAGTAAATCAACAATTAAATGACGCTCGCGAAGAACCTGGTCCGGGCCCATCAGGAAAATAAGGGGTCTCATTCGTGTTTCTAAAAGGGCAGGGAGCTAGCACCAATTTTTTGTGGAAAATAGAAAAAAGGTAATTGAAAAATTACAATTGTTGCCAGCAAAACAGCCTCAGTGGAGACTCCAGAGTTAGGCCTTATCAGACCTTAGAAGAGAGAAAAACGATTCTAAAGAAAAGAAAACCCAAAGTATCTCTGGAAAGTGCCAAGATGAAATTCAGTGAGTAATAGTCATGGCCAGATATACATGTTAAAAAGGATCAAGCACGCGCTTTAACACACACACACACACAAAAATATCCGTTGTCAATAAACTTATAAAATAAAACAAATTTCAGTCATGCCGTTTCTGGTCACTATAGCTGAATGAAATGGATGTTTATTTAATAAAGACACATCCACAGTATGTTCCACTCTACTGCCAACCTTCACAATTCCAGACGCTGCAAGCAGTAGCTCTGGACCAACATCTGTGCATGATATAGCAGATGTGTCATTGTGTGTCAAAATGCCTCGCAGTTACCTGAAATTTCCTGCCATGAACCGAAATGTCCTGTATCTGTCAGTAACATGTATTGTATCTTGATTTAAAGCTTTCGTGACTGCAGGGATTCATATTCTTGGTTCTTTCGGTAAAGTTACGTAGAAGGGAAACAATAAAATAATACAAATATAAAACAATAAAATTCTCACGACGTTTCGACGGCAACACAAGCAATCATCATCAGGCGTGAAAACCACAGCTTGTGTTGCAGTAGAAACGTCGTGATAATTGTATTGTTTTATATTTTTATTATTTTATTGTTTCCCTTCTACGTGACTTTACCGAAAGAACCAAGAATATGTATTGTATCGTGCTTGATTCACATTGTTTGCTTTGTTGAATTGTTTTTATGTAATCACTGCAATCTGTCACAGCAAGCCATTAGAGATCATATAACACTGTAAAAATACATGTCCCATCCGAAATGCATCTTTGGCTTACGGTTATATATATGGAGTATAAAACAAATGCAGTGCTTCCCATACAATATTTTAATACACTACACAGGGCAAAAAAACAATATCACATCAATGCCTGCTGCCTGTGACTTATAATAATATTTGTACATTTTCGTAAGAGCTGTGAACAAAATGTGCGGCACTGCATATTATATTTGAAACAAACAAACATGTGCTTCATTGTTTGCGTACAACATTTACGTAATTTAATACATTTCTCCAATTAAAATAATTGTATCAGCCCTGACCATGAGAATTAAATTTAGCATGGACCATATTAATTACTGCGCTTCTTATTTTCATGTCCATTTATTTTCATGCATGCGATTTTTTTTATTAAACACTTATCTGCCACTACGAATAAACAAACCAATAATTGCCTTTGAAGATTTTAGTTCAAATGCTTTACAACTAAACTTAAATTATGCTTAAACGAAACTGCAATGTTACATGTGGTGGAACCCATGGCCACTGAATGACAACACGTTTCTGACTCGCGAAATGTGCCTGAGCTATTTGTGAGAAAATGAACCAGAGTTTGTGACGCACAAACCTGCAGCTTCGAGTACTCTGGAACAGAGGCCCTATCAGACAAACCACATCTTCCCAAAAGATTGTGAAAGTGCACTCCCCTGTCAACATGTTCTCTCCGCTTACTCTCATGACGCTGGCACTTTACGCACTCGTAAAGTAAAAAAAACTCACCCACTGTGACTTTCATGGCAGCAGCGTACTCACCAGTGACAAGAACATTCGGCGGTTATGCTCCGGTAAATGTTTGTTGCGTGTTTAGGGCGGACGACCAGCAAGCATTACCAGTCTTTTTCAATCTGCCTGTCGCAACTTACTTGCCTGTCCCACGGACGCCGTGAGCACAGCATGAACACACAAGAGACGAAGGTTGCTCTAAGCAGCGTCTACCAGACGCCCCGTTTGCAAATGCAGAAGTATGAGAGTGCTACTCCGGAGCAGTGTGAATGTGCCTTTGCCGCAAACTGATCGGTAACAAAAGACCTGGGCATTCAGAAACCGTGTTAACATACATTTTACGTGCCAGCTGCGTGCTCTGAAGCAGCCAATGCATATCTCCATGCTAGACCGATCTCATTGTGTGCTGTTAGATCGCATTAGATTGCAATGATGTGCTGCTCAGTCTTAAGACCCTGTCGATATCACTGGAAAGTAAATGAGCTTCAGATTATCGTGAAAACTCCTATCTGGTTGCGATAAAGGCTCTGTGCATTTGTTAGGTAAGCAGGTGCCGCGATGCTCCCGCCGAGGATTTGAAACAAGCATGGATGTGTCGCGCGGCCATTAAGTTTTGGACGCCACACACGGAACGATATGTTCTCATGAAAACTCAGCTCCAAATGTGGAATGGAATGCACAACAACCCTCAGGATACGCTGTTCAGAAGTTGTTCTCCTCGATGCATATAGCTACTACATCGATGTGCACGTCCTGAAAGTGCAGTCACAGAGCCAAGGTCGTGCAACTTGAAAACCTGTCAAGGCTGGCGAGTGCTCAATTCCCTGGCAGATTTTCAGACGACAGTTCTCATCCTTCATGCAACAAAACCTGCGCATTTCATTTTGCTATATATTTTTTTCTAAAAGGGCAAAAAGCACAATGCCTGGCTACTCACAAAATTACACCTGCTATGGTTTGGATGACAGTTTAACTGAAATGAATGCACATGTCCATGACAATAGCCAAAATGGAAAAGCCATACATTGCAAAACGAGAGAACTGTACACGTATTACAACTCTAAAAAGCCTAAAATGAATATGCGATATAAAAAATACTTTCTTTCAAATAGAGCACTGTTTAACTTTAAAATTAATGTTTTAATATACAGGTTGTCAACCTTAAACAAATATTGTGGAAGATGGAATCTTGCATTATGAAATCAAACTGGTGACCTACAACAAGGGCTTTAAAATCACTTCTGAGTGTGCAGCAACTCAATTCCGGAACCTGATGAGAAATTTCAATTCTAACGCATTGTACATCTCCATAGAGCTCTTCAGAAGACATTAGAGAAGACACAGGCCCCTGTATAGCCTTAACAGACTGTAGGGGCAAGTGCTGCTAGCGAGCGCCTATGAAGGCCGGCACGGCACACGAGAGGGTAGGTAACCAACACCACACCTGGCCGGTCGCCTTTGTCTCCCTAGTGGCGATGTTGACACACCGCTCCAGGTACTCATTTGAGGCTGAGTCTACCGAGGGAAGGCCCAGAACCGGTGTTGGTCATGGGCGGAAATCGGCAACAACTGCATCGCGCGCGATGAAGTCAACTCGTAAGCAGGTGCTAGGTGGATTGTCACATGACAGGACTGAGAGATAGTGACAGCCTGGGGAGTCCTTCATCCAGCAGTGGATTTTAAAACATATCATTTACACTTGTTTACTAAGGAAAGCCTCACTGGTCTCAATATTATGTCATGAGAGTCCTGCCAAGTTTATTTTTTTCCCCAGAAGGGGATGATGTTTCCGTGTGTTATCCCAACTGAGTGATATTCAGGTCAGTTTTCTGATAATCTTTTACCTATGACCGGAAAACCAAGCAGAACAGGGACTGAACGTACACACTCCGCACAGAGAGGTGCCCAAGTCAGGAATCATACGCAGGCCGTTGTTGCTGTGGGGTACAAGTGCACTACCCTGATTATGATGATGTAAACAGCAGCACGTTACAAGAACGGGCACTGCAGTTCTGAGAATGAGTGATTCACTGTATAGCTTTATGTCTGCCTCTTAAACGGAACTGCTGGTTACAGATGCAGTGCTGGAGCAGGGACTGATTAATAGTGGAAGCCAAACACGATGAGGCTTGAACATTCCTACACTTGTGTGTTTGGCTCACGTCCAGCAACCACCTGCTGTTCAGAGCCACTATGTCGTTGAAAGATCCGGGGAAATGCTTTCCCACTGCCACTCATGGGGAAATATACGTAAATGGGTACACAATGCAAGCCGAACTGGAGAGGAAGGCAAATTAGCGTCTGCCACGCATAAGCTGCACAGTTGCCAAACTTACACGCCTAAAGCAAGCCACTGGTATTCACAACAATGAAGCTGATGAAAAGGTCAAAATAGCACAATTTGGTAAATGTGTCCTCGTAAACAGAATCGTATCGAAGGGCTCGTGCCTTATTGGCAGAAGGCTAAACTATAAATGTAACAGCACCGGACTGGGAATCGCCAACACAGCCAGAATTACTATAGTGAATGGTATTTCATGTGCAGAAGTGCCAGTGCATCCAAGGTGATCGTACTGTTTAATAACAGTATTGTTGGGTTGAAGGCAACGCTATTGTCAGTATTTGGGAAATTACACCGCTATGCTACAAATCTGCACAGGTTTTCTCTTTCATAGCAAACATCTACAGCTTGTGGCTAAAGTAGTGTTAGTTAAGATATTGACTTTTGCATTTTATTTTTTCACAAAGATGTGTTTTATATTTAACTGCACCATCTTCTGTGAAGTAGACTTTGGTTTATTCGGTGTCCTGTTGTGTATGCTTGTGCCATTAATTCAAATCCCAGATTTAACAATTTACTCGCAGATATGTTTTTCAAAAATTCCAGCTCTCCCTTTCAAATAATAACATTGTGTCCCAATAGCGTCTGGATTTGGCATAAGGAAATTAGATTGAATCGACTGCAGCTTTAAGTGTCTCCATTCTATATATGATACTTTTCTTTGGTATTTTACAAATGTGACTTTTGTGAACTCAATATGTGAGAATTTCAAAGCTGTTGGCATCCTTTGATTCATTTGCGCTTACCACAATTTACAAGAGTTAGG